TCAGTGATATTGATGCCATTGGATGTGGAAAAGGTTCTCGAAGAGAGTGGATGGGGGAATAATTCTTTCATACATTAACTCAATTTGAATGTGCTGGGACCTTTAGACCCCCAGATTAAAGATGCAATAATAGTTAGGCTGGACTGAGTTACGACGCCTTAACACAATCAAGGGGTTTGAGTAAAACCATAAACCCCAACAGAATAGCTCAAACTATTAATGCGAGTCATGGGAGCTTGAAACTGGCACATAAGCTGTAATTCAGTCTAACACAACTGTTGTTTCAATGCAACATGTACAAGTAATAAAACTTTTAATTGGTTATTTTTGGGACATGGTTATAGCTGGTTTATGGTCCTCCAGATTGTCTTTCTTGCGGCCTGTGGAGGCTTTGGGTGTGTGCATTAAACTAATTTGTTTCTTCGGAGGATGTGACCGCCTTTCAAAAGTTGTTGCTCTTCCAAAACAACACGGGGACAGCATTCTTCATGGCCAATCGGTGGGTCAAGGCAATGTGAACTGTGCCACCCAACCATTCAGACCAGAACATCACAGCAACTATGATAATAATATTAATAATAATAATCCATGCATTTGATATAGCGCCTTGGGACGTCCTCCCAACATGAAAGGCGCTATACAAATGTAATTTGTTGTTGCTGTTGTTATCACTCGTCACTATGAAGACTCAATTTAAGAACTGTTCAAAATTCTGCATTGGTGCAACAGTACATCTTAAGACAATGATCTCAAAGCTAAGATCATGAGAAATTTTGATTTGGCTCTTGAATCAGTATCGTTTAATAAAGTTTGAACTGCACCTTTACCTCCTTGGTTACCAGGGCACATTACAACAAAAACTTGCATTTTATATAGCGCCCTTAATGCGGGGTAGTGTCCCGAAGTGCTTAATACTTAACAATGCATTGTCCTCGATCACATTTTGTTGTTACCACAATGTTTAATTCAAGTAATCCTTGCTTAAATCCACAAAAACGCACAGTCAATTCACTTTACAGTATATTCTGTGAAGCGCTTTTGAGACGTCTCAAAGACGTGATAAAGCGCTATATCAAATGCAAGGATTATTATTATTATTATTATTATTATTATTTAAGGCAAACAATGGGGAGAAGAATCCTGAAGAGTATCACCAAAACTTTCCTGTGTGTGTCTGCTGCTGAAGGCGAAAGTCAATTATGATAGATCTTTAAATAGAAAATCAATCCGAACCTATCCACAGAAGCCAGTCTCCCTCCTCCCTCGTGCTATGCTGTCAGTGTCCACTTCAGGAATAATTAGCATATGACTTATTATATCATCGAATTAGGTCAAATAGGGTTCAATCTTCCCTTGTACACACAGTATTAATTCAAACTATGCCCCTTTTATCTTTCTTGCTCTCACGAACACACACTACAAATAGCAGAGCAACACAAGAGAGGTAAAGATCATGTCTTACGTGTATCTTATGCATCCAATCAGTCCATAGTTATCCTCAAATAGTGATTATAAACTACTGGCCAACCCTCCCACACCACCGCCTCCAACACCTTGAACATAATAGCTCTTAAGCTTGTCCACCCAGACTTGACTTTGTAGAGAAACGGGATAACAGCTAAAAAAAAAAATGTTTTTTTATATATAAAAGATAATAAGACCTGGCACAGCAATGCAGTAACACAGATGTGTTGTTCTGAAATTCTTCCTGCTGGTACAGAACGTGTGTGGTCTGGTGGCAATTTCCCCTCTCAGCATTCAAGAGCTGGCCTTCAGAGACACATTCATCAACCAGATCAAGGTATACTTACCCAAGATCTGCATCCTCAATGCGGACTAATAGTCACAATTCAGAATTGCGTTCAGATCTAATGTTTTGCATTACACTTTAGAACCAAAGGGTAGAAGTGAAGCAACTGAATATCAAGGTTAAGCTATCGCAGGACTTATGAAACAATGGATCATTAAAGATTCAGATTACAGTAAAACAGATGGCAATATTGCATAACACTGACCACCCAAACTCCCCTTAAGCCCTATATTTGGTTCTTCTTCATGGTAATAATAATAATAATCCTTGTATTGGTGTAACATTTCATCACATCATCACAGCATCTCAAAGCACTTCACAGGATTTTACTGTAAAGTCTATATAATAATAAAATAATAATAATCCTTGCATTTGATACAGCGCTTTTTCACGCCTTCTCGACGTCTCAAAGCGCTTCACAGAATAAACTGTAAAGTGAATTGACTGTATATTTTGTGGGCGAAACGCGGCAGCCAATTGCGCACAGCAGTGTCCCACAAACAGTCATGGATTGAAAATGACCGATTTATTATTGTTTTTGGAGGGATTATTATTAGGAGTGTGGAGTAAGGAAACTTGCCCAAGGTTTGGCCCTCTGCCTGGAATTGAACCCAGGTGTCTCGCTTGCAAGGCGAGTGCTCTAACCACTGAGCTACAGGACTCCTATATTTCCTTATAAAATGTGTATTTATAAGCAAAATTGGTGCAAGATAATGGGTGGGGGGAGAATGAATAGTGTAAAGAAAGACATGTGAATTGAGGGAAAGAAAATCCCAATCCCTGGAAACATGCTCAATCATTTTGATACATACAGCACTTTGAAGTCTAGATAACCAACAATTTCAATACATTGAAATATAATTAGCCATGAATACAAATTTGGACGTGTTATTTGAAATTCTCTTGTGATCCTGTGAACTGCAAATTATTCCTACTCCGAAAAACGGCAGTACAGAAATTAATTTGTGCTGAAATATTTTGCAGGAACTGTGTTCAATTAGGACAAGTAATGTAAAAACTCTTAGCTATACTGTTCATTTGGTTGGGGCGTGAAATGAATACAGCACATCGCCTAGATGCCCAGTGTTTACAAAGCCGGTCTTAGCGATCAGCTAAGATGATTCGAGTTAAAGATGTTACATCCCTTTGAGGGCAAAGTATTTGATCATCTGATACTTCCTGGCACTGCGCCTGGATTAGAGGAAATCACACTCATATGCTAAGGGGGTGCCCAGACATAGCCAAGTTTGAGAGGATGTCCTTCATATCCTGGTGAGCATTCTGCAGCATGTTCACCACAAACTGCTAGGGTAGCAATTCTTGGAACTGTGCCACCAAAAACTAAGCTCATAAATCACATCCACTGCTCTTTCTAGGTCTAATCTTATAATATATAATATATACACACCTAAGTATAATCTATATATTATATTTTTTTATATATGTATATATGGAGTGTTAAAAAAGTTCTGCAATAGTCTGCCATGTTCTATAGATATCTATATCTTAATTAGACATAACTGCTTTTGGACTGAGAGGTTGAGACAAGGTCACTTGAAGCGAAGGCAATGCGGTTTCTTGAAAAATATGACTGTAGGAAAAGATGTGAAGAACATCTGACCGGTCGGACCCTCCCACATGTAATTAAAGGGAAATGGAACTCTTCGAGTCAGTTTCTTTTCTTTCATTTTGTCATTTTTAGTCTGCTGAAAGAAAACGATAATTGATGGGCATCTTCCGAACTTTACTTAAATCAAATGGAATGATTTAATGAGGAAATTATGCAACGGTGTTGCAGAGGCACCAGTCAAGGGGTCCTCCTGTAATTAATCTGCTTCCAGACCAGTGAGGAATTGTCGTGCCGTGCTTTTATTTTATTTTAATCTTCTCAGTGGGTTTTACTGTGTGTACGGCGGCCCCAATAAATGTTTTTAACGCTCGTGTTACCTCTCCGGCATGTGTCTTCCGAAGCTCTAACGGGTAGGTTGGTCCTAGTGGGACAAACAGCGGGAAAAGACAGTGCCAGGACAGTGGCCATCAATGGCAAACTATGCAGTTTTAGGCTGACTGGTTAGATTCCAGCAGTGCCCTAACTCATATTCTGGGGTCCCCAAGCCTCGGCTCTCACCAACCTGCACTAAATTCTTTCCGGCGTTAGGTAAACAGGATGCGTCCCTCCAAGGAGAGAGAGAGAGGAGAGCGCATTCCATTCCATCAATCGATCTCCGGGGTTTCCATGTGGTGTCCGGGGTTTCTGGTGGGGTCCTGTAGCTCAGTGGTTAGAGCACTCGCTTTGCAAGTGAGAGACCTGAGTTCAATTCCAGGCAGAGGGCGAAACCTTGGGCAAGTTTCCTTACTCCACACAGAGCCTAATAATAATCCCTCCAAAACCAAAAACAATAATAAATTGGTCATTTTCAATCCACGACTGTTTGTGGGACATTGCTGTGCGCAATTGGCTGCCGCGTTCGCCCACAAATATACAGTCAATTCACTTTACAGTGTGTTCTGTGAAGCGTTTTGGGACGTCCTCCCGACGTGAAAAGCGCTATATCAAATGCGAGGATTATTATTATTATTATTATGTGTAGATGGGATGATGCATGGAATTCCCAACTTGGATTGGAGCCTCTTAAGCCAAGGGGTGGTGGGGGTGGGCGGCGATGGGTTCCGCACCGTCAGACAACCCGGGGTGGGGGTGGGGGGGGGGGGGTAATAAAAGAAAACATAACACCATCACAGACAAAAGACACCGGGGTGCGGTGCGGTGCGGTGGGGGGGGTGTGGGAAGAAAAAAACATCAGCAGATTTGAGGTGTCTCTTAAGAAAGCCAAAACAGAACCTCTCACTCACTCACTCACTCACTCACTCTCTCTCTCTCACTGCAAAAAAATTATAATAATAATAAACTCAGGAGGAGAAGAGGAGGGAGGGAGAGGGAGGGAGGGAGAGGGAGGGAGGGAAGGAGGAAAAAAAAAAGCCTAGAGCTGGATGCGTCATTGCAACGTTGACACTGACATTGACACTGAAACTCGTGCAAAGCCTCCGCCTCTGACACTCTCTCCCACACCCACAACACAACAGGAACTCAAAGCCTCTGCAGATGCAGTTTTAAATTCGAGCCGCAGTCGCTCGAGGGGGTTGGTGGAGGGGAGAAGCAGATCGAATCCCCCCTCTCCCTTCCCTTCCAACTCACACACACACACACACACACATAAAAAAAAATTAAAAAAAATAACACTAAATCAAGGCAACGTTCTGGTTGCATAGAGAAAGGCAAGTGATTTTATTTAGAGGTCTGTGTTATCAGATATATTTATTCCCCAGCTGTGTGTGACACTTTGCTGAATTGCCTACAATGCAGTCAGTTGCTGTTTAGATGATGACCCAAACCTCAACGATGGTAAGTAGGAGAAAAAAAAAGCCTTTATTGTAAACTTTCTGGTTTGTGCAGCGACCCAAACGTGCATTTGTTTTCTCTGCTGTTTTAAGAGATGTTCTGATGGCAATGATTTCCAATTGGAAATTATTATTTTTTTTGGGGGGTGGTGGGGGGGTGGGGGGGGGTGTTAGGGGGGTCTCTCTCTCTCTCTCTCTGTCTGTCTTTTTTTTGTCTTTTGTGCGATTTGATCGGCTTTTTGTACTGACTGTAATGATTGCAAACACACACATCAAACACACACACAAGCACACACAGACACACAAGCACACAAACACACAAGCAAATACAAACACACACACACAGACACACAAACAAATACAAACACACACACACACAGACACAAACACACAGACACAAACACACACACACACACACACAGACACACACAGACACAAACACACAGACACAAACACACACACAAACACACACAGACACAAACACACACAGACACAAACACACACAGACACAAACACACAGACACAAACACACAAACAAAAACAAACACACAAACACACACAGACACAAACACACACAGACACAACACACACAGACACAAACACACAGACACAAACACACACAGACACAAACACACAGACACAAACACACAAACAAATACAAACACACAAACACACAGACACAAACACACACAGACACAAACACAGACACAAACACACACAGACACAAACACACAGACACAAACACACACACAGACACAAACACACAGACACGAACACACACACAGACACAAACACACACACACAAACACATACACAAACACACACAAACAAATACAAACACACACACAGACACACAAACAAATACAAACACAGACACACACACACACACACACTGTACCGTGTTATTGGGAGCAATGTTAATGGACGTGTTGGGACGCGCTCTCGCTGCGCGGCTTAAACGTGTTACATAATAAAATCAGAGTCTTTCGCTAATTTAAAGAGCAAAAATAAAGCACTGCTCGGATACCGCAGTCTCATAAATCTGTTTTTTTTTTTGACTGTGTCTGGTGGATAACATCAACACTCGTATTCAGTTTAAAATGCCAATCAGTGGCTGTCTTGGATCTGCTGTAATTTACTTTGTGCCTTCAGTTCATTTTAGGGTAAAGTAATACATTTTCTTTACAACAAAAAATCGTATTGCTTTTAATGCCACCGTGTACTGTTATTAATCGTGGTCCCTTCTAAATACTGTACGTCTAAACGTTTGATGATGGTCGAGTTGTAAAGGAAACACATAAAAAGTTATTAATTCAAGGACTTTAAAATCAGTGGCATTTACTTTTTTTAAAAAATGTCATTTTTTTTTACCTGTGTCTTCTATTTGGGTACCAAACGCATTTGCCTCCGCATATTCAACAACATGAAACCTTTTATGAAATGAGGAACTTTTTTTTAAAAAAAACTTTTGAAAGGTTCCAAATGAGCTTAGTATTAAACCATGTACTTGGTAAACTGTGTCAGCAGACGTAATAGGCAAGATGGGAGGGCTGTAATTCGTGGCTGGAGAATGAGCAATCGTAGAGTTTAATGAGTGACAACGCATTAGAAAGTTGTACAAACCTTTCATAAAGGCTGCACATTTTGGATTATTCTGAATTGTCGAAACTAAATCCCAAATTATGCACAGATAACAAAGTGAACACAAGATTTCGCTTAAACAATACATTGTAGATATAAATCAATGAATGAATTTTAGGGGCTCGGTGGTCTGGGTTGCTAATTACATCTATTACAATGATACACGGAGCAGATGAACTCAGATCGAGAATCATTTCGGTTCGATGTTACATTTGTGTTACCTTGAGATTTTATTCTGGAGAATGATCAAAACACACACCACATTGGAAATAAATCAGCAAGATTAATGTTTTTCCTCAATTTGGAATGAGAGCAAGCGAGCACTGAAACAATTCTTGGTGGTAATCGTGTAGGTGTGTTGGTATATATATATATATAATATATTTAATAACACAAAGTAAACCCTTAAAGCAAATCACACGATGTGCAACTTCAAAGACAAAAGCCATTTAATTCATTGTTTTGTCATTATGTTGTATGTGTGGTTACTATGGCAATCCAGATTATTTCTAGCATTGTATTTTTAGCATAAAATTTCAAGGCGCACATAAGGACTCAGTTGTGCAGATAAAGAAGGAAAGGAAGCAAGCCTCGCGTTACACTTGTAAACTAGAACATACACAAGTCAGATTGGGTACAGGTATATCTGAGCAGCACCCAGGACAGGCGGGCGAGAGAGGGAGAGAACATGCGTCAGATGTATGTACTTTGAAAGTTAAGACTCGCTAGTCCTTGGCTCGTGTGCCAGCGTCCCAACGTGAAAGCAGAAAGCTCGAGATACTTCTCACCCCCCTTTTTTCAGAACGTAATGTATAAAACACCGGGGTGTGGGGATGAGATGAGTGGCGGGACCTTCATATATATATATACATATATATACACATATATATATATACACATATATATTATATATATTCAAAAAAAGAGAGGGAGGGAAAGAGACAGAGAAAGAGAGAGGGGAGGGGGCGTGGTGGTGGTGGTGATGATGGTGGTGATGATGATGATGATGATGATGCGGGGGGGGAGTAGGAGGAAAGTGCTCGACTTCTCTCTCTTTGAAGAAGTCTTGATTCAAAATTGCCGCCAGACAGCCGGCCGGCGCCGCGGAGCCTGTCGGGTAGGTGGTGACGTCGCGGCGCCGGGCGGCTTTCGGTTGCTGTCGCTCGAGCTGCTGCTGCTGCTCGGACTCCGCCGCCGTCGCCGCCGCCGCCGCCCTCCACCTCCACCTCACGGGGAGGCCGACACACAAAAAAAAAGGGAGCGAATGAGCGCGGCCGACCGGCCGGCCAGCGAGAGGACCAACCCGACCGAGGGCTCCCGAGTGACCCCCACCGCCTCTTAACCTTTCCACATGCTTTCGGGACGCTGTGTAAGTGACCCGCGGCCTTTTTTTTTCACTCGCGCGCTCCCGAGCCGCTGCCGCCGCCGCCGCGTCCTTTGTGTTAGTCGTGCGGTCGGGGCCGGGGTCGGGGCCGTGGAGGGGAGAGCCGGTGTCGCGCCATCTTTTGTGTGAGGAGAGAGCGGCCGCGCGGCGGTTGGGGTGTGGGGGGGGGTGGGGGGGGGGGGAGAAGAGGTCCCGCCGCCCCCCCCCCCCTCGTCTCACGTGAGGAAGGTGGGGGGGGGTTAGCGCGTTGCCCTGGGAATACCCCCCCCCCCATTAAAGCGGCCCCATTGACGGCTTCAGCGCAACCCAACCCGCTGGTTTGATTGACGGCCGCCTGGGCGCCGACGGACGGCGCGGCCGGCCAATCGGGAGGACGGCCGAGCGCCGGAGGGCGGGTCCGGCTGGGCGGCGCCGACCTATCAGCGGGCGGGGGAGGGCGGGAGGAGATGACGCTGTTGCGGCGGCGGCGTTGGAGCCACCGCGTCAAGTTTGGTTGACGCGCGCGATGGCTCCGATGATTGCGGGTGTTGCAGAAAAGGGGAGTTTTTTAGGGGGGGGAAACAACCGTGGGGGGGGGGGGGGGGAGTTTTAAAAGCGGATTGAAATCCCCCCCACCCGCCACCACTTATCTTCCCACCCACTCCGAAAGTTCCCGCTGTGACCGTCACCACTGCTTGACAGGTCTCGTGTGACCTCCATAAATCCGGCAGAGCCCCCCCCCCAATACGTGACTATTTGCCTCTTTATTTGTGTGCACCCCCACACCCCCCCATACCCTCCCCTCCCCCCACACACCCCCACACCGGCTGTGTTCTTTGATATCCACGCTGGAGTAATTGAGCCAGGCCGGTAACTTAACTGGTGGAGGTGGGGGTGTGTGTGTGTGTGTGTGTGGGGGGGGGGTTTAGGATTATATCACCCGATGAGCCTCATCGCTCTTTTGGCTTCGATCCGTCTTCCGATGCGTAACCATTTTTTTTCCTCTCTCTTCTAAAGTCAACATGTCGGGGAGGAGGGGGGGGAGGCGGCGTTGTTACCGCTGTGTGTGTGTTTTTTTTTGTTGGTGTACTTTATCCTCTCGGGTGACACGACACTGCGTAAAACTGTGGTCAGTTCGTTACGTTTTCTTTGTATTGATCCAACAGTTTCAAACGTGTGCCGTGTGTTTTTGTTTTCTGGTAGAAAGGTTGATTCTCGTTCGCTGTTTGCCCCGCTGAACCCTCAAGGCTCTCCCCCACCACTCCCCCACCATCCCCCCTTTTTTTTTTGCTCTTTTCATTAAATCCGTTCCGAGGCATTGTCGCCAGTGAGTAATGTTTCCTGAGTTATATCTCCGGTGATGAAACGTCAAGCATTCATCCTGCCAACAAGGAGCGACGTGGCTCATTTTCATGTGACTCATCTGTTATTTTTTTAAATCCCTAAGTTTTTTTTTAAAAAAAGTTTGCTGCTTAAGCGGCTCATTTTCTTCGCCTTTTGGTGGTATAAATCACGTAACGGTATATGATGTATACATACATACATATATGTACATATACATATGTGTATATGTGTGTATATATATATATATAGTGTGTTCAGCACCACGGTAGCCTTTTACATTCACTAAAGTACGACTCTTAACAAGAATCCAGAGGTTGTTGATTTGTGGAGATTTATCAGGTGCATTGTAAATATATTTGGTACCACTCTTATGGTCACAGGACACCGCAGCTTGGTTTGGAGTCGGTGGTGAAATTCCGCGAATCGCATTTCAGGGGGAAAGCAGTTGAGATAAAATAAATGAGCTGAAATCAGTCGTGTGTGTGCCCAGCAAGGAAACCTTTTCCAGACGGAAGGGTGGGTTTGTGGGGTGAAGATCACAGTCGGCCCACGCTGAATGCGGGATCATTAGTTGACGAAATGCTCTTCTCTGCTGTGTGTTTTGAATTGGTTGAGGCAGTCAGCTGTGGGGGGTGGGGTGGTTGTGTGGGGGGGGG